CACAGCATCATCCAGAGCTTTATTAAAGCCAGGGTCACAGAGATGGAAATCCTTCATTTACAAGAAAACATTTGGGGAAAAAGTGGGAAAATTACTAAAAATATTTAAACGTATTGTCTAGAAAAATGTTCCTGAGTTTATAACCTCACACATTTACAGAAAGAAAGTTTGAAAGTAATTTGTTTTGTTTTTCTCTGTAAGGTTGATCATTTGCTCTTAACTGAGCATCTCTCTCTGTGTGCATTGCATTTAGGAATACCTCATCATACATTCATTACAGTTGCATCCATTAATGAATGGAACTTCCCAGAGAACTCATGGGGTGTCCTGTGCCACACTTTGGGAACTTTCATTTGAAAAGAAAATATGCAAAATAGTTTTTAACTCTGTTTAATTCCATAACACTGTGTGTTTATGAGTGCTAATGTCTCATTCTGTGTTTTGTTCTGACAAAGGAAGTGCACGCTGGGGAGTGAAAGGGTGTGTGTGTGTGTGTGTGTGTGCGTGTGGGGGGAGGGGGTGGGGTCTCCTGCAGAGTTTAACACACTGTGTAATTAAGCTCTCTCTGACTGACAGCGCAGTGCCAAAAGGCGCAAGACGCGTTCCCATTGGCCGGAGCGCGCTTTACAATCTGCTCTTGTTTCCGAGCACACACACACACACACACACACACACACACACACACACACACACACACACACACACACACACACACACACACACACACACACACACACACACACACACACACACACACACACCACACACACACACACACACACACCACACACACACACACACACACACACACACACACACACACACACACACACACACACACACACACACACACACACACACACACACACTCTCAGAGGATCTACTTCACCCTCCTCTCAGAGCAGGAGCAGTCAGACGCGCAGCAGCAGCGGAAGGAGCCGGTGGACTTTACGCAGAGCAGAAAAACACGCTTTTTTCCTCCATGAAGTTGTGACTCTTTTTTCTCTGAGTTGATTCCCTCGTGCTTCAGACTGACTTTCCGCACAGCAGGAAACCCAGCATTTGTTTCTCCTTTTTCTTCTTTCCTGCGCTGATTCCTCCCCTCAGTGTCCTCTCTGAAGCCATGACGTCGCGCTGCAGGATGGAGCGGCTCGCGCTCACCCTGGTTCTCCTGTCGGTCTCGTGCAGCGCGTCAGAGTACGAGTACCTCTCCTGGAAGTCTGATGCGTACTCGCGCGGTTACGGGAAGGCCCCGCAGTGCGTGGACATCCCGCAGGACCTGCGGCTGTGCCACGCGGTGGGCTACGATCAGATGCTGCTGCCCAACCTGCTGGAGCACGAGACCATGGCAGAGGTGAAGCAGCAGGCGAGCAGCTGGGTGCCGCTCGTGCACAAGAGCTGCCACCCGGGCACGCAGGTGTTCCTGTGCTCGCTGTTCGCGCCCGTGTGCCTCGAGCGCCCCATCTTCCCGTGCCGCTGGCTGTGCGAGGCGGTGCGCGATGGCTGCACCCCCATCATGGAGTCTTTTGGGTTCCCGTGGCCCGAGATGCTCGCGTGCGACAAGTTCCCGCAGGACGACGTGTGCATCGCGATGACGCAGCCCAACGCGACCGAGAGCCCCAACCCGACAGGTAACTTTAACTTGATTAACCCCACAGGTAACATTTGCGTAACGGTTGACAGGTGTGGAAGAAGTACTCGGATACTTGACTTAAGTAAAAGTAGAAATACTACAGTCTTGAAATACTTTCAAATAGCAAAGAGTATTTCGATGTTGTCAAAGCAACACACATTTATCCTAGGGGTTAGGGTTATTAAGAGAGTCTGAAAAAAACAAAAAAAGTGGCGACAGATAACCCACAAGTACCAAATATTACTTAAAAAGCACACATGAGATATTAAAGATATAAGTACAAATTACACCATTTACAAAATACACATCCAGTACCAGTATTTAAAAGTATTAGTAATAGTTGTAAATTAGCAGCAGAGTGGTATTAAAACTTAAAGTGTCCTGCTTTGTCCGCATTTGTCCCACACATTGAGAAGATGTCCTGTATTTAATTGACAGTCAGAGTTTAAAGTGTGTCTTTTACCCAATGGCTGTTTAGACAGAGGGTTATCTCCATTAGCTGTGTCAGTGTCAACAAAGACATGTATTTATATTACATTTAGCTGTCATCCAAAGTGACAATAAGTGCCGCAACCAAAATGATTCAAGCTGAGGACGAAAACAGCTGATATATTCACGATAGCATTACAGCTGAATACACATTGATTCGACTCTAAAATGAATCACGTGTCAGTTGTTTGTTAGAGAAAAAATCCATTCGAACCAAATATCTTGAAGTCCTTTACTTGTTTGTGGAATCAACCGATTTTTAAACATTAAACTAACTCTTATCGTGTCTCACACACTCTCTGTCACGGAGGAACACTGAGACCTCCATATCGTTATTGTTCTGTTACGAGGAACATTCAGATATTAAAGTATACATCTCATTACATTTGAAAACACTGAAATGTTAACTTTAATTGAATGTATTGAATCCGCGCGTTTAACATAACTGTATTAGGTTACAGTTGGAAGCATTCACGTTAAGTTGAACCTGATATTTGATGTGAAAAGCAGTTATTTATGATCAGCTTTTCAGTGTGTACTCCATAAGAGAAGAGAGAGGAGTGTGCAGAGGAGCAGGACATATCTATAAGGTAGAGGTGGAAGAAGTACAACAGTAAAAGCAGAGACATAGTAGTATTTAAATACTCAATTGCAAGTAAAAGTATTTCAGTGTTGTAATATATCAGATTTGTGCCAATTTAATGTACTTTCTGTGTAGTTTTGTGTTTTTTACGAGTACTTTACTGAGAAGAGACATGAGGGTGCAAAGGGCTTTGGATGAGTTGAATATATATATTTTTTAAATACCTCGATATTGTTGCCACACGTGGAAGAAGTACTCGGATACTTAAGTAAAAGTAGAAATACTATGGTCTTAAAATACTACTCCAGGAGCAGTTCGATGTTGTGATACGTCACATCTTCCTGGTTAGATGACTGTGTGCAAAGGACTCGGCAATATGGAAGAAATGATCAAATGTTTCTGATCAAATACCTCGAAAGTAAAAGTACTCATTATGCAGAATGGCTTTTCCCCGAGTAGTAAAGTATTAAGTCACTTTAAGTGTTAAATAAATGTATAAAAGTGAGATATTTGCCTACAAAATGTACTGGATAGAAGTATATCAGAGTACTAGTATGTCTTTACTGCAATACTTGAGTACATTTGGTGCATTTCACCACATTTCTGATGCATGATTTCATGGCTTGAATACGGTCTCATATCACATATACATACATATACTATTGATACAACCTGATTACTGCCAAGAGAACTCAGCATGCCATCTATTTATGTACTCATACTTTATTAAGATGCACTTTGAACCACTGTTGTGGACGTCTGGAGGTGTGATGCCTTTTAAACATTTAAATATTTAATGTTATAGTCTAAGTCTGAAACAGAGGAAAGCACCAGATTCTCACATTTAATTCACACGGAAACAGCAAATATTTATTTATTTAATATTCTTAAACGTTTGTTTTGCAATCAGAACAGAATGTGCATTTTACATCACAGTCCTTTTTAAAATCATATCCTTTGTTTGCAAAACAAAACAAACTATTGATTAGAAGTCTGTCGTGTTTCTGAGAAGAGATGCAACTAAAGAGTATCTATTTTCCTGTCCGTCTAAATGCAGATTCAAAGCCTTCTCCACATGACTGTAAAGGTGGATACAAGTGGTGTTATTTAAATATAATGTGCTTTTATACTTCTTAAACTGAGAAACGCTTGATCCATTCATGTAGAATCTGGAAACAGAGAACATTGAGCATTTGCTGCTTGAAAACGGTTTGAAAAAAAGATTGCAGCCATTTGTGACTCTTTTATAAACCTGGCATTAAGCAGAGACTGAGGGAAGACAAACAGCTCTGCTGCGTTAGAGTCGACACCTGTGCAGCAAATGATCCTGAGAATGTTGTTTCAGGGAGGAAGGTGTTGGCAGACGCACATCCCCACGAGAGCAAAGCAAACACAACCTTTTGGGGGAAATCAGCTGTGAAACTTAAACTCATTTAAACCCCCCTCTGTAGCGTCTCTACTTAAAGAGTCCTCTCCTGCTGATGTTCAGGTGTATATCAGTATGTAGTGTCTCTACTTTAAAGAGTCCTCTCCTGCTGATGTTCAGGTGTATATCAGTATGTAGTGTCTCTACTTTAAAGAGTCCTCTCCTGCTGATGTTCAAGTGTATATCAGTATGTAGTGTCTCTACTTTAAAAGAGTCCTCTCCTGCTGATGTTCAGTGTATATCAGTATGTAGTGTCTCTACTTTAAAGAGTCCTCTCCTGCTGATGTTCAAGGTGTATATCAGTATGTAGTGTCTCTACTTTAAAGAGTCCTCTCCTGCTGATGTTCAAGGTGTATATCAGTGTATGTCTACTTTAAAAGAGTCCTCTCTGCTGAGTTCAGGTTTTCAATATGTAAGTCCTACTTTAAAAAGAGTCCTCTCTGCTGATGTTCAGGTGTATATCAGTATGTAGTGTCTCTACTTTAAAGAGTCCTCTCCTGCTGATGTTCAGGTGTATATCAGTATGTAGTGTCTCTACTTTAAAGAGTCCTCTCCTGCTGATGTTCAGGTGTATATCAGTATGTAGTGTCTCTACTTTAAAGAGTCCTCTCCTGCTGATGTTCAGGTGTATATCAGTATGTAGTGTCTCTACTTTAAAGAGTCCTCTCCTGCTGATGTTCAGGTGTATATCAGTATGTAGTGTCTCTACTTTAAAGAGTCCTCTCCTGCTGATGTTCAGGTGTATATCATAATGTAGTGTCTCTACTTTAAAGAGTCCTCTCCTGCTGATGTTCAGGTGTATATCAGTATGTAGTGTCTCTACTTTAAAGAGTCCTCTCCTGCTGATGTTCAGGTGTATATCAGTATGTAGTGTCTCTACTTTAAAGAGTCCTCTCCTGCTGATGTTCAGGTGTATATCAGTATGTAGTGTCTCTACTTTAAAGAGTCCTCTCCTGCTGATGTTCAGGTGTATATCAGTATGTAGTGTCTCTACTTTAAAGAGTCCTCTCCTGCTGATGTTCAGGTGTATATCAGTATGTAGTGTCTCTACTTTAAAGAGTCCTCTCCTGCTGATGTTCAGGTGTATATCAGTATGTAGTTCTCTACTTTAAAGAGTCCTCTCCTGCTGATGTTCAGGTGTATATCAGTATGTAGTGTCTCTACTTTAAAGAGTCCTCTCCTGCTGATGTTCAGGTGTATATCAGTATGTAGTGTCTCTACTTTAAAGAGTCCTCTCCTGCTGATGTTCAGGTGTATATCAGTATGTATGTCTCTACTTTAAAGAGTCCTCTCCTGCTGATGTTCAGGTGTATATCAGTATGTAGTGTCTCTACTTTAAAGAGTCCTCTCCTGCTGATGTTCAGGTGTATATCAGTATGTAGTGTCTCTACTTTAAAAAGAGTCCTCTCCTGCTGATGTTCAGGTGTATATCAGTATGTAGTGTCTCTACTTTAAAGAGTCCTCTCCTGCTGATGTTCAGGTGTATATCAGTATGTAGTGGTCTCTACTTTAAAGAGTCCTCTCCTGCTGATGTTCAGGTGTATATCAGTATGTAGTGTCTCTACTTTAAAGAGTCCTCTCTTGCTGATGTTCAGGGTGTATATGAGTATGTAGTGTCTCTACTTTAAAGAGTCCTCTCTTGCTGATGTTCAGGTGTATATCAGTATGTAGTGTCTCTACTTTAAAGAGTCATCTCCTGCTGATGTTCAGATGTATATCAGTATGTAGTGTCTCTACTTTAAAGAGTCCTCTCCTGCTGATGTTCAGGTGTATATCACTATGTAGTGTCTCTACTTTAAAGAGTCCTCTCCTGCTGATGTTCAGGTGTATATCAGTATGTAGTGTCTCTACTTTAAAAAGTCCTCTCCTGCTGATGTTCAGGTGTATATCAGTATGTAGTGTCTCTACTTTAAAGAGTCCTCTCCTGCTGATGTTCAGGTGTATATCAGTATGTAGTGTCTCTACTTTAAAGAGTTCTCTCCTGCTGATGTTCCGGTGTATATCAGTATGTAGTGTCTCTACTTTAAAGAGTCCCTGCTGATGTTCAGGTGTATATCAGTATGTAATGTCTCTACTTTAAAGAGTGCTCTCCTGCTGATATTCAGGTGTATATCAGTATGTAGTGTCTCTACTTTAAAGAGTGCTCTCCTGCTGATGTTCAGGTGTATATCAGTATGTAGTGTCTCTACTTTAAAGAGTCCTCTCCTGCTGATGTTCAGGTGTATATTAGTATGTAGTGTATCTACTTTAAAGAGTCCTCTCCTGCTGATGTTCAGGTTTATATCAGTATGTAGTATCTCTACTTTAAAGAGTCCTCTCCTGCTGATGTCCAGGTGTATATCAGCATGTAGTGTCTCTACTTTAAAGAGTCCTCTCCTGCTGATGTCCAGGTGTATATCAGTATGTAGTGTCTCTACTTTAAAGAGTCCTCTCCTGCTGATGTCCAGGTGTATATCAGCATGTAGTGTCTCTACTTTAAAGAGTCCTCTCCTGCTGATGT